GACTGATTGAAACACACTGTTGAGGGGAGCAGGGGGCGAGTCAGGAGAGATCTGCTGCACCATGTGGGGATCTCCCTGGCCAGGGATCGAACTCGTGCTGCAGTGGCTGGGGATAGCTTCATAGGTTGCATCTTAACCCCTTGCGCCACCAGGGAGGCCCTGGATTTTTATTTTAAATATAAAGCATGCTTAGTCTAATAGTTCGGCTAGTACAAAGGTATATAAAAAAAGCGAGTCAGTCTTCTTTGTCATTCAGTCTTTATATTCTTATGCTGCTCCCAGTCAGATATTTATGCTCATATAAGTAGCATTTGTACTTTAATTTCATGGAGATTACCCTAGGTAAATACACTTTTTTATACTGAGTAACTTTTTTTTTTCCCACTTTGCAAGGTTTATTTAGTCTTGTTTGTTGACAGGGGAGGGTGCAGTTGGAGGAGGGTTCCCAGGGGTTGCTGTAGCCCTACCTTCAGCTTGACTATGTGAGGAGACCATCTCTGGTGCTGGTGGTCAAGGAAACCAGCCAGGCAAGATCAGCCAGAAGGCACTGATTTCGAGACTTTGTATTCATTTCACCCTTGGCTGCTTCTTGACTGATTTCCCAGTGTCCTTCCCCCTGGGAACATGAGGCTGATGGTTCTGCCCCTTTTGCCCAGAATCTGATTACTAGGAATGTCTCTTCTACTCTGGTATTTTGCAGTGACCTGCAGCTTTTCATTGATTTTCATCACCAGGTCCTTCTGTGTCAGCCTCTTGCTCTGCCCGCCCTGCTAGATAACCTTGCTCACCTCCAGGGTGAGCTGGTCATGGTGCAGCTTCTCAGACCCCTGGTCTAACTTGGCCTTGTTCTTGGTGACCAAGTACTATTTATTCTGGCTAGTGTCCCATTTTCCCACATTTTCTCCTTGTCTCTAAAGATTTATTTATTTATGCATACAAGAACAGGGGAGTAGGCCAGAGGTACGAGAGTGAGAGGCTTCACCAGAGACAGAGTAGGGAGAAGAACAGGCAGATCTTCTGAAATATATTGCTGAGGGGAGCAGCAGGCGAGACAAGAAAGGTCTGCTGCGCCATGTGAGCTCGCTCCCTGGAGCCAGGAGTCGAACTCATGCTGCAGATAGTTTCATAGTGGTAAGATTTAACCCATTGCGCTGCCAGAGAAGCCCCTGTGCCCCCCCCCCTTTTTTTTTTTTGTGGGGCCCTCGCCCGGTGGCCAGGGATCGAACTGGCACTGCAGAGGCTGTGGGCAGCCTCGCAACCCAGCGCTCAACCGCTGCACCACCAGGGGAAGCCCTGTGCCCCTTTTTTTATGGTAAAATACACAACGTAAAATTTACCATTTAAACCATTTTAAAGCATACAGTTCAATGGCATTAAGTATATCCATATTGTTGTACAATAATCACCACCATCTATCTCCAGATAGATCTTCTCATGTGGCAGAGGTAAAATTCTGTACCCATTAAACAACAACTCCCCATTCCCCCAAGCCCCAGTTCCTGAGAGCTACATTCCACTTCTGTCTCCATGAATCTGACTGATTCTACAGTTAAAATCATACAGTACTTATCTTTTTGTGACCAGATTATTTCACTTAACGTTAATGTTCTCAAAGTTCATCCATACTGGAGCATGTGTCAGAATTTCCTTCCTTTTTAAGGTTGAATAATATTCTTTTGTATGTACATAACCACATTTTGCTCATCTAGATAATCATTTGTCAGGGAATACTTAGCTGGCTTCCACCTTTTGACTATGAACGTAGATATACAAATATCTGTTCAAGTCCCAACTTTCAATACTTTTGATGGTATACATGTAAATGAAGTTGCCGGATCATATTGTAATTGTTAAGTTTCTTGAAGACCCACCATATCATTTTCTGCACCATTTTATATTCCTATCAGCAAGTATACAAGTATTCTCCACATCCTCATCAACTCTTGTTATTTCCTCTTTTTATGTAATAGTCATTCTAATGGGTGTGAGGTGGTATCTCATTGAGGTTTTGACTTGCATTTGCCTAATGATGTTGAGCATCTTCTCATATGCTTATTGATCATTTGTATATTTTCTTTGAGAGATATCTGTTCAAGTTCTTTGCCCATTTTTTATTTTTTTAAATAAGAAATTTTGACTTGAAGGGAAAACTCTCTAGGATTCATTTCATTTAGAGTAATTTATCCTTACTTAAGGACAGATTGCCCTACATGTAACAGCTATGTATAAAAAAAAATTACAAAATTATCCTTGGTTTTTACAATGACAAATAAACAACATTAAAATTCCCCAATCAAATAGGGTATGCAAAATTTTTATTTTATTATTTTTGTTGTTGTTGAATATGAAGAGTAAAATAACTTACTGGAATATAAAGTTAAGAGCTGAATGAGGGTCTCCCTGGTGGCTCAGTGGTTGAGCGCTGGGCTGCGAAGCTGCCTGCAGCCTCTGCTGTGCCGGTTCCATCCCCGGCCACCGGGTGAGGGTCCCACCTGGCGCTCAGACCTCTCCTGCCACCCGCTGCTCCCCTCAGCAGCGTACTTCCTCACTCTGCCTGTTCTACTCTCCGCTCTGGCTCTGGTGAATTCTCTCGCCCTCCCACGCTTCTGACTGTACCCAGTGCTTGTATGAATAAATAAATAAATCTTTAAAAAAAAAAAAAAAAGAGCTGAATGAGCATGCCTCGAATGGAGAAAGGCCGTATTTTCACAGAACCAATATTTTCCCCATCCTATCTTCATTTGATGTCAATCAAACATACTGTTGTCCATTTAGCTTTAAAACATGCAATATGCTTTTGCACACACACCGTTTATGTACAATAAAGGAATGGGGAAGGAGAAATGAAAGATTGGAGAAAACGATATTGTAGTAATCAGGGTATGGTAGAACCAAATTGCAGTTTTTTAATTGAGAATGTCTTGTTCTGGAGAAACAGTTTTGGAGTAAAGCACCAGATTCCCTTTTTAGTGGACACTGAAACATGTATGTCTGTTTCACTGGTTGGCTTCCCGTCAAATTTGAATCTAATCTGCCTCATTGACAAACCCTGTCGTTCACAATAGAGTTTCAAGTGGTATCTGCCTCTTAATTTAATTTAATTTTTTTTTTTAAAGAGGCATGAATTTTTATTTATTTATTTGTTTGTTTGTTTGTTTATACATGCACTGGGTACAGTCAGAAGCGCGGGAGGGTGAGAGAATTCACCAGAGCCAGAGCGGGGAGCAGAGCAGGCAGAAGGACCGAAGTACACTGCTGAGGGGAGCAGCGGGCGGCAGGAGAGGTCTGCGCGCCATGTGGGACCCTCCTGCGGTGACTGGGGAGCAGCCGGGGATCGAACCAGCGCCGCAGAGGCCGCAGAGACTTCGCAACCCAGTGCTCAACTGCTGCGCCACCGGGGAGGCCCTGCCTCTTAATTTTAAAGAGCACTGCAGAACCATCCTAACTGGCCACCTTTAAATTAACATGGTCGTTATTCTTATTGTTGACTCCTTCCTTGGGTTTTGCTTTAGCCCTGGGAAGGGCCAGTCTGCTCTGCTCAGCTGACATTTCAAAAAGTCACCAGATCTGCACTGAACAAGCACATAAGCAGGCAGCACTTGGAGGCTCTTTGCCCATTTTTGAATTGGGTGGTTTTTTTTGTGAGTTTTAGGCATTCTTTATATATTCTAGATATTAATCCCTTATCAGATAAATGATTTGCAAATATTTTCTTATTCTGTGAGTTGCCTTTTCACTATGTTGTCCTCTGATGTACAAAAGTTTTTAATTCAAAGTCCAGTTTATCTATTTTTTTTCTTTTGTTGCCTTTGCTTTTTGGTGTCATGTTCAAGATATCATTGCCCATTCCAATTGTCATGAAACTTTTCTTCTAAAGTTCTAAGAGTAGGGCCTCCCCGGTGGCTCAGTGGTTGAGCGCTGGGTTGCGAAGCTGCTCGCGGCCTCTGCAGCGCCAATTCGATCCCCAGCTGCTCTCCGGCCATCGGAGGAGGGTCCCACATGGCGCACAGACCTCTTCTGCCTGCTCTGCTCCCCGCTCTGGCTCTGGTGAATTCTCTCACCCTCCCGTGCTTCTGACTGTACCCAGTGCTTGAATAAATAAATAAATAAATAAATCTAAAAAATAAATAAATAAAGTTCTAAGAGTTTTGTAGTTTTAATTTTTACATTTAGGTCTTCAATCCATTTGAGTTCGTTTTTGTAAGGTTTAAGGATCTAACTTTATTCTTTCGTTTGTAGATATCGGGTTTTTCTCAGTACCATTTGTTGAAAAGGCTGTCCCATCAAATAGTCTTGGGACCTTTCTCAAAAATCATTTAACTGTGTGTGTGAGGGTTTATTTCAGACTTTCCTCATTTCCTAATTATTTTGGATTTTCTGTTTCCTATTTCATTTTTAATGGGTGTTATTTATCTAAATATATTTTTCATTTTTAATGGGTGTTATTTATCTATAATATGGATATATTATAGTTTATTCAAATATTCCTCTACTGGTGGACATATAGGTTAATTGAGGCTTTTGCTACTACAATGTTGCAGCAAACATCCTAGAATATAAGTTTTATATCTTGGTGCTCTTATTTCCACATAATGGATTTACAAAAATGGGATCATTAGGTTTTTAATTCAATAGATGGTTTTTTTTTTTAAATAGGCTTTTTTCAACATCCTTGGTAGTGTTTAGAAGTGTATTTATTGTCTCCCAGTATGATCAGTTTAAAATGAAAAAAACCTTTACAAGTCATTATTTAACAATGAAAAGTAAATGGATACTGATAAATATTTGTTATATATTTAAAAGACATTTTACTCTTAGTTTTAAAAAGAAAGAAAACTGTCCTTTCATAACTCAAAAAATGAAAGTGAGAATATTTATTTCTGTGTGCAGTTGAATAAGTAAATTAACATTTTGAAACAATCAGGTGTTAGGTATTTTTCCTGCTTTCAACCACTTTCTTGAAGTAAGCAAGCTAGCCAATGGCTTCTAATTTTTCCTAGCTTAATGCAGATACTGAAAGAGAAGAGGGAGAAGAGTTTGAAGACAACATGGATGTTTTTGATGACAGCAGTTCCAGCCCTTCTGGCACCCTAAGAAATTATCCACTCACCTGTAAAGTTGTTTATTCCTACAAGGTTTGTATTTCTCTTATATATTGCTCATATTAAATTGTGACAACTCTAAAGATACATTGACTGTGTCTGCCTAGCCTCTTATGCTACGTTTAACATAAAATTGGTATTCGGTTAATGTACTGAATTATATAATAATATAATGGTGAAGAGTCTGGGCTCTGACATCTGACTGCCTGGGTTAAAAATTTGCCACTTACAAGCTATATGATCACACTAGTCACTTAGTCTCTGTGAGTCTAATTTTTTATTTTATTTAAGACTGCCAGTAGAAAAACACTTTTTTTTTTTAAGATTTATTTTATTTATTTATGCACACAAGAGCTGGGGTTTTGGCAGGAGGTGCAGGGTTGGGGGGGGTTATGTGTGAGAGGATTCACCAGAGACAGAGTGGAAAGCAAAACAGGCAGATCTACTGAAATACACTGCTGAGGGGAGCAGCAGGTGAGACAGGAGAGGTTTACTGTGCCATGTGAGTTATCTCCCTAGCCTGGGGACTGAACTCATGTTGCAATGGCCGCTGATAGCTTCATAGTGCTGAGACTTAACCTTACCTTTATAAACTTCCATCACACTGAGAAAAACAGACTCTTCTCTAGGGTCTAAAGCATGCAGATGATCTGGCCCCTGCCATTCTCCCTAGCTTCACATCAGACCATTCTCCCTACCCAACTCACTCACTACATGTTAGCCACTGAGGTTGCCTTTCAGTTTTCAAAAGCACCAGGCTCCTTACTTGAAAACTTTGCACTTGCTGCTCCCTCTGTCTTGAACTCTTTTCCCAAGTCTTGGTTGGCTGCCCACTGTACTTCATTGAGGCTCAGCTCAAATAGTGCCTCCTTTGTCACCACTCTCTCTCCCAATATCCTCTTGTACTCTTATTTACATTCTAGCACCTACAGCCTAGCCAAAGTTAATCTTACTTTCGTTTTCATGTTTGTTTGTCTGACTCCCCACTAAAGGTCTATGAAGGCAGAAACCTTGTCTGTGTCTATGTACCTCGGTACCTCAGATATTTGCCTGGCACATCATAGGTCTTCAATAAATTATTGTGGAATTATGTAAGGAAGGCATGAACAAATGAATCCTCTTCTGGCTCCCATGCTGTAGAGACCCAGTGCTTTAGTGATAACAAGAGAGAAAGGGTCTGGAGACACCTTCGGCAGTCATACCCAGCATAGTCTCATGCCTAACACTACCATCGCTGGATAGCCAGAGTTAGTAGTGTGTACTCCTCAATATGAGTGCCCACCCACACCTTTTTTAGTTTAACATCTTTTTATAATATATTTAAATTAATGATACTTCTTCTTTTCTGAGAGTGTTGTGGTTATTTTGTGTTTTTTTCCCCCAGTGTTAACTGTGTAATAATTTTGGAAATTTGAAGTCATTTTCTGGGATACTTGAAAGGTGTTATTATAAAGTTAGGGTTAGGAATATTTTCTCATCTCATTTCCCAATAAAATATTTACTCTGAAGTTCCAGAATTAAGATCTAACATCCTTAAATGGAGAGGGTCCTCAGTGTGATTATAAACAGCTCACATTCACCCAGCTTTCCTTCTACCCCAGAAATGTGCCTACGGCAAACCAGACTACAAAATTCTGTTTGGTCAGTTAATCATTAAGCAAACATGTATTGGGTGCTCAATATGTGATTAAGTTTTAGAGGTGGAAGAACGGATGTAACAAATTCCTAGGCCCCCCAAAACAAGTGGTCGGGGGGAATACACATAAAACTGGAAAGTAGAATATGTATGAAAGCATTTGTGAAGGAGGTAAAAACCAGTAATTCCTCCTGTAATGGTTAGGAGAAAATGTATATGAGTTGGCATTTCAGTTGGTCATGAGTATTATCTTTCTCAATGCAGTGAGAAGGTATAGGGGAGGGCAAGAGCCTTCTAGACAAAGAGAACAACAAATACAGAGACACCATTTGATGAAATAATGGGGTGCTCAGTAAATGTTAAATTCAGTGGTAGTAGACCAGAACTGAGGTTTGGCTTCTATCCTGGATGTCCCTGATCAGGTGCCTTGTTGTGGTACAGCTACTAGAGAGGGCAGATTAGGATAGAGAGAGACTAACTGTAAGCCTAATAGTGATTCCTGTAGTTAAGACTAGCAAAGAAGGCCTAATGAGAACAAAAAAAATAAATAAAAATTTAAAGATTAGATTTAAAAATCTTAAAAATGCCCATGACTGTTGATCCTGCTAGCATCTGTCCTAAGGAAATGACCCAAGCATTGAAAAACATTTTGGATACAAAATGTTTTTCCTTCATAGTACTACTTTATAATAGCTCAAAGTTGGCAGTCTGGTAGAAATAGCTAAATAAATTAACCATTTGTATAATGTGACTATAACATAATATTATGAAGATAATTGAAAATTACCTAGTGAGTAGAGTTTTTTAAGTAATAAGAAATGCTATGTTATATCAAAAAAAGTAAGATGCCAAATTGTATGTACTTAAGATCTCAATTTTGTGAATTTTACAACTTTTCTATCTTGAGCATATTTTACTTCATAATCGGGAAAAAGCATATTAAGAAAAATAGGAAATTTGGAGAAATTGTTGTAGGAATAAAGAGCATGGCTGCTTCTGGAGTTCTGACTCCCTGCATATTAGACTTCAGGAGGCAGTGTGAGACCATGTGTCTATTTAGTCACCATTTTGTCACCACTTGCTGTCTTTCTTTGGGGTAAGTGAGAAGAATTACATTCCCCGCCTTATGCAAGTCATTCTAATATGAAGCCCATGAGGGCAAATAGCTAACTAGAGTGCTGTGGTAGTTAATATCAGAGCCTTCTAACAACAAAAAGAAAAAGAAGCAACCAGCTCAAAGTCTTGCCATGGAATCAGGAAAAACATCTCTGTTATATAAGTGCCTTTTGCTGGTATATTTCAAGGCATAGTGCGTTTTCATTATTAGCAAAAAAAAATTCCACCGGAAAGACAATCAAAATGAATGATTTTTTCATTTATATTTTGAAATCAGAGGTAATTTACTTAAAATTTTAGTCCTAGAGTATTTCTGTAAATACCATTTTTTGATCTGTAGCAGCTGTGGCAACGTCCATACTCTGGGTTTAATGAAATGTTATAGTGCACATAAAATGGGAAATGAGTCTAAGGAAGCGACCCATTTCCTTCCTTATTTTTGTTTGTGTAACTTAGATATTTTACACTTTGAGACTGTGGGATTTGAAAAACTCTGTGGTCTTAGGTGATGCTTGTAACTGATCTTGGGATGTGGGGAAAGTTTTTAAGACTATTCACTGGAGAGCTAGAAGGTGCCAGCAGGACCTTCCCTATTACATGTGTTAGGCGAGTCTCTTTAGGAAACAAAGCCACATAGTCTCTCTCTACCCCCTCTGCAGAATTCCTGAGAGTTTGCTCTTAGATTCTACTGTCTCAAGGGCAGTATCTGGGCAGCTGGAGCTAGTGGACTCCTGTCAAGGATAATAAAACCAGTTAGCGGCTTCTGCAGAAGCACCCAAGTGGATCAACCCAGTCTCCACAGTTAAGTTGGAGCATAATAAATCCAAACTCTGACTGGATCTCAATCATTTCCTTTCCCACAACCTTGTTCTCCCGGCTACTCTTTTTCAGTGATTCCAGATCAATTCTAGGTGCTGCTCAAGCCGTCATCGAATCCATGCACATAGTTCTTTGCATTTTCACAGCATGCACCTCCATGGTAGCCCATGGTGCAGTTCTAATTTAGTGCTTTCTCCTTTGCCTGTGCTTCCAAAATCATCTGGCTTATTCATCCCACATTGACTTCATCTTCCCAAGAATGGCAGGATTGTCATTTTGAAGAAATGGAGGCATCAAGAAGTTGAATACCTTAACAAATAGATACATAAGCTGGAACTGGAACCCTGGTCCTCTACTTCCAGCAGACAGCTCTGAAAATTGAGCCTGGTTGCCTCTTGAGGATTCCGTTTCTCCAGTTTTTGTTGTGGCTTTATTTTGTTTAGTTTTTTAAAGTAAAACTTCACCTCATTATGATAGTTTTACAACACTTAAATTTTTATTTTCAGTGTTTTCCAAAATCATTTCAGTATTTTGATCCCCAGTTTTTGTTATGATCAGCTCACATCTGCTCTTTATCTAACCTTTTTAATTTTGTCCATGACCATCCTACATTGCAGGCTTCTCAACCAGATGAGTTGACCATTGAGGAACATGAGGTGTTAGAAGTGATTGAAGATGGAGATATGGAAGACTGGGTAAAGGTATATTCCTTTGCTCATATCGCCCCTTCTTGTGACATTTTTAGGAGTTTATTTTGGTTCTTGTTATGCCCTGTCCAAATTGTGTGTGCAAACCTGTTTTGTCACATGTCTTTTACTCAGGCTCGAAATAAAGTTGGTCAAGTGGGTTATGTGCCAGAAAAATACCTACAGTTTCCCACCTCGAACAGTCTGCTGAGCATGCTGCAGTCCTTGGCTGCTTTGGACAGTCGGTCACACACATCCAGCAATTCCACGGAGGCCGAACTCGTTTCAGGCAGCCTCAACGGAGATGCCAGTGGTAAAGACTGAAACAAGGCACTCTTTATTTGGTCACATTTGGCCTAAACTCTATTACCCTGGAGTAAGCCTTTTAAAAGCACATTATTCCTAGTATATGTTTTCCTTTATTTTATCACATCCAATACAGTAGAACCTCAAATTTCATCTTCAATGAGTAAAAACATTAAAGCTTTATCCTTATTCTATGAAGTGTGCCCTTTAGCTGTCACTGGAGCATAGGGGTGGTTGCAAAAAAAGAACATAACTATCAGTGTTCTTACTGGAGCTTTTTCTCTCTTGTTACCTAGTCTGTTTCGTGAAAGCACTTTATGACTATGAGGGCCAAACAGGTGATGAATTATCATTTCCTGAGGGAGCAATCATCCGAATTTTGAACAAAGAAAACCAGGACGACGATGGCTTCTGGGAAGGGGAATTCAATGGGCGGGTTGGAGTTTTCCCATCGGTGCTAGTGGAAGAACTTTCAGCCTCAGAAAATGGCGACACTCCATGGATGAGAGAGATTCAGGTACATGAGAGGGGAGAGCACTGATTTAAAATGTTTGGTTGGTTTTTTTAAAGATTTATTTTATCCATTTATGCATACAAGAGCTGGGGTGCCGGCCAGAAGTGGGGGCAGGGAGGAGGGGTTGTGTGAGACAATTCACCAGAGACAAAATGGGGAGATTGACTGAAATACACTGCTGAGGGGGGCAGCGGTGAAACAGGAGAGGTCGGCTGTGCCATGTGGGTAGCTCCCTGGCCAGGGATCGAACTTGTGCTGCAGCGGCTGCTGATAGCTTCATAGTGCTGAGACTCAACTCCTTGGGCCACCGGGGAGGCCCCAACTTAAAATATGGAGACTTAAAGAAAATTTAAGAAAATTACTTTTTAAAGTAAATTACTTTAAAGAAAGTAAATTACTTTAAAGAAAATTATTCCAGTGGATCTATAGACAAAAGTGGGCTGTAGTCCCAGCTTTATCCTTACCCACCCCAGTCCTCAGATGCAAGGTTTCTGCAAAACTGAATTTGGGAAAGTGGGGACTCATCAGTCAGCCTCTTGTGTCATGGCCATATTACACCTCCAGTTCTCCCTCATTTTGTTCTCTGAGTCAGTTCACCAAAATGCTAAATTGAATGTGGCATACATTTCATGGAAAGAAGGAAACAAACCAGAGAAGGAATGTATTTCACAGTGGTTAGTTAATGTAAAAATATTAGCTTGCTTTCTTTCTCCCTCCCTCCCTGTCAGGGCTCCCTGCCCATCCATTCCAGAGAACTAATGAGCCTGCGAGAACCTAGTTCCACTCTTGTGACCCTTGGCTTAGCTCATCCTAGCACAAGTGTCTTTGCAGGGAACCCCTAATTCAGAACTGTCACAGCAGGCCTGGCAGGTCAATAACCATAAGAAATGTCCTTGTATCAAGTTTGTGTGATATTGTGTATACTTAGCTGACATTTACCAAACCTGGGGAAATCAGAAACTTAGCCATTTATTTTATTTTCACAAAGCAATGCAACTTGCACCTTTTTTTACTCTTCACTATGAATTGACTAAATTGCCTAATTTGATGTTTTCAGTAGAACTCTAGAGAATATTTTGGCTTGATTATTATGTAAGATAAAGTTAGTAGTATAATGAGAAGAAAGTTAAATGCAACACAAAATTGGGACTTGGGGGTTGTTATTTTGGCCTCATTTGCTTCTAATGAGGCTGACCCAAAATGTTAATAGTTGTAATTTAGCTCCGGAGACAAGTAATTTGCCTGGAGTAGAGAAGTAGTTCCCCTCTCTTGCTCAGGTGAGCACTTTGTACCCTCTCCTCCCTCTGCTGCAGATCTCTCCTTCCCCCAAGCCGCCCGGCTCCCTGCCCCCCCTGCCGCTGTACGACCAGCCTCCCAGCAGCCCTTTCCCCAGCCCGGATAAGAGGAGCTCCCAGTACTTCCCCCGTTCTCCTTCGGCAAATGGTAAGCGCCCTCCTGGGCTTGGGTCTAAATGCATTTTTATTCAGAAATCCACTTGTTCACCTGAGCAGCAAGCAGATGTACATCAGCATCTTCATTGTTCAGCAGCACAAATCGAATGAGCTTCCTTGGTCCCTTCCTCTCTCTTAGAAAACAGCTTCCATGTGGAATCACCAGGATTCTCGCAGGCAACAAGGCATACTCCTGAGACCTCATATGGCAAACTGCGACCTGTAAGTCTCCTATCCGGCAGGATTAGGATGCATTAGGATGCATAATTGTTCCAAATTGAAAGCTAGAAATTAGTGTTTCTCCACGGCTCTTATGTTGTTAGGAATCCCTGCGCCCCATGCAAGGGTGAGCTGGGTTCAGGAGGTAGAAAGAGCTATTAAATAGGAAGGCTATGAAAACTCTCTTGGCGGATTGACCCCCTCATCCCTCCAGTACTCTGGTATCACTCTTGACACCTCTCTGGCCCTACCTCCCACAAGCAGCCATCACCCAAATCCTGCCCAGTTTACCTTGGAGGGAGCTGTCAAATCCCTTCGCTTCTCTATTCCCTCGCTGCATGAGCACTAGTTCAGGCTAACGTTAATTCTCACTCAGATGACAGCTGTCCCAAATTTGTCATTTTACTTGTCCTTTTCCCCTCTTCACTCTTTTCTTCAAACTGTCACCTGAGTCATCTTTTCACACACCTGATACTGCCGTTTAAAATCCGCCAAAGACTCCTCTTTGCCTACAGAATAAAGCTCAGCTTTCTTCACGTGGCTTACCAAGGCCCTTCACTACTGAACCCCAGCCTACCTCTCAAGCCACATCTCTTGCAAGTCTCCTTCCAAGACATGTTGAAAGGTTTTCAGTTCTTCCGGCACTGCTCTCATGCTTCCAGCTCCAAGCCTTTGCTTTGGCTAAGACTTTGAGAGATACATGACTCTTGTGCCCACAAGACTTCCAGTTCAGGCTAGAACCTGTTCTTGGGTTTTTGCATTTCATCTAGAACAGTAACTCCTCAGTGTGGGAAATAGTGAAAATTAGGTTGAAAGCTCATGCTAAGAATACTTCTGGGGCACTGGTGTCCTTCAATACATAAGTGGTTGGGGCTTGGATACTTTAGGCACTGGATCAGGAAGCTAACTGACAATCCATGTAATTGTTTCCTGCAAAGGTCCGAGCAGCTCCCCCTCCACCTACACAGAATCACCGAAGGCCAGCCGAGAAAATTGAAGATGTGGAAATCACGCTGGTGTGATGATGGGCTTGCCTGTGCATTAGTACTACAATCAAGGCCAGGCTTGGTGTTTGGTCAGTCTTGTGTTTTAGGCACCTTTGCATGAGGATGACTCTTGAACAGAGCAAAAACATGGAGGATTATATGTGACTGGGTGGCCTAGTGGACTCCTCCCACATTTTGAATATTTTGTGCCTTTTTTTGTTGTCATTTTCTATGTCATCTCTCCTACCATAGCACAAATCCTAGTGGACCCTGGAAGCAAAGAGGGGGATAGCTCTTGTGCCTAACAGTGGTCTACATTTCTATGAGACTCAAGACCAGGCCTGTTCAGGGCACAGTCACAGAGACTGATCATGTGCACTCGTACAGTATATTACTGTGGCCACAGGATGTGGCAGAGATTCTCATCTTTCTTCAAGTGACTTTTGCTCGTCTGATTGAGTTTAATCAGATCACGTTGGCTACATAAAGAAGCAGATAGAGGGATTTCAGGTGAGGCTGGCTCCTCCCCACAGTTAGTCCCCAGACTGAGAAAGTGAAACCTTATTCGTAAAAAAGTGGACTGTCCTGACTTTAGCGCCAATTGCATTAATGCACATCTCTTCCACAACTAACAGATTTAAAACAGTAACCAGTGTCCTTTGTATTAATATTTATGCCATTCATTTAGAATTAGTGGAGCTAATATGGAGGGGCTGAACTAGTAGCCAAATCTTGTCCATCACATAGACTAGTAGAAAGGAGGCTTAAGGCTAAAGCAGAAATGGAGCTTCCAAGTCTGATATGAGCCAGTTTAATGTTCTTTTTGTATTTGGGTATTTTTCATCTTAATTTTTGCAGCATATACTCTTCTGACTGGTATCCTTAGAATCTGAATGTCTGTAAATTGAGGACACATACCTGCATTGCTGAGCTTCTCTACTGGGAAGCCCCTAGTATTTTATTCCCAAGCCAGTGCACTGGCCCCAGCAGCCAGGTTATGACAGGTGCAGACCAGCGGCTACCCCCACCATGAAAAATGTGGCTTCCCGGTCCCAGTAGCCTAACAGTGGCCCACATTTCCTTGGGAGGAAGAACTTGTGGTGTACAGAGAAAACCAGCCTATCTGAAAAAGGACTTGCACACCCTGCACAAGTGCAAACTGATGAAGAAAATCAAGTTCTCCATGTCACAAGGAGAGCCAAGAGTAGCTCTCTCCACAGCTAGCAGCAGGTGTCCCCAGAGTGGGGTTCTGTCAGCTCTGCACCTGTGGAAGGTAGGGAGTGCCTGACCTAGGAACTAAGGAATATTTGCCAGTTGCTTATTTTCTTAAGAAATCAAATTTACAGAAGTTAAATCAAAAGTTGTATTATGCTTTGAAAACTCCATCCCGCCTAAGAATCTTTAAAAACTTGAAATGCTCGCCAAATGTCCCTGTGGGATTTTTGACCAAAAGTATGGTCATAGTTGAAGAAATTTTCAGCTAGTCATTTGATCACTTCAGTGACAACACCCATTAATGAATCTTCTCCATGATTTGGGGCTTTTCGTTTTGTTTTGCATTTCTTAACCTGTTGATCTATTTGAGGTCTTTTGTGTTTATCAAACTTATTCTTAAGTTTAAAAAAGAAATTAATTAGGGTGGTTTTTTTAAGATTTTCAAGTTTGCCAGCATGTTAAAAATCTTTAAAGCACTTTACAAATTTTCAAAGTGCTTATTTAAATCAGGCAGTTCTTGCCACCCAGTCTTGTATTCTTTCTAGCTAGCCAAATTGTCCTTGAATCTGGGTTTTCCACATTCTCAGAGGGTTATTTGAAATCTTTTGTTATATTTTAAAATATTTTTTGGAAGAGCTGCTAATTTTATTTTAAAAAAGTAAACAAAGTTGTAAAAAAATATGCCTCCTTTTTAAAAAGAACCCCTCCCTCCAGGACATGTAACCCAGCATCACAGTGCACAGGGCAGGCTCAGAGGGAGCGCCTCCGTGCAGATGTGCTTTCTTTACCATGGCTGTAAAAAGTTTGTATTTATTATGTATAAAATGTTGAATAATAAAAAAATGGAATTACGTTTTCTAAGTTTCCTTTTAAAAGTTTTGGGTAAACAGACTCTTCCAAACAGACAGTGCTTCCTATAAAGATGCCCCTAGGCCCTCCTTTAAACCGTACAGTAGATACAGAGGGGGAAATAAACTAATCCAACCGTGCGATGCCAAACAGTTTCTGATGCCATCTACCTGAGCGTGCTGTGTACGGATGCCAATGACAGAAATAGTGATCTTTGCTTTCAAAGTTTTCCCAATGGGAAAACAAAGACTAGTACACACACCTCATCACAAGGACTAACTAATGCAGCCAAACTGTAGCTTTATAGCACATCACCTGGTCCCTTTCCTCTGACCCTCCACTCCTAGCCATAGACCAAACAGACATTAAGTGGGAGGATGTCCTCTGACCTTGGCCCTGCCACTACTTGATAGATTACCTTCCTCTCCAGGTTGTCCTATCCCCAGCTTTAAAAGGAGTTGAAAAAGATTGTTTCCAAAGACTTATCCAACTCTTATATTCTAGATAAGTTCATTTTCTAGATGCAGAGTGAGAACATTCCCCTAAAGGGTCATAATATTTGAAAACAAACTTACTAGCACACAGATTCCTCAGGCTGGCCAGAAATTATAAAGAAAATTCAAGCTGGACTCGCTCCACTGGGGCAAAGCAGACCCTCCTCACCTGTGCTGTGATCATACCTCAGGTGTGCTATTCTGTTCACTTACTGCCCCATCAGCTGTAGCGTTTGGCTTGGGGGCCAGTTACTACTTAGCCCTCTCTGAGTGACCTTATGATAAACTCTTGACTGCTCTGAATCTGCATTTGTTTATTATGAAGTTGTGTCTTATAAAAATACAACCAAATTACAGAAATTTTAGTTTAGAAGAGAGAAAATTGTTACTTGTCCAGAATCCTACTATTTGACACAACCAGTGTAACTTTCCTCCTAGACGCCCCTTGTTTTTGGTTTATTACAGCTTGATCTGCCAAGAACCCTGTGAATGCCAAAGAGCATCTTGTTCCTGGACCATTTTCCCCTGGTTCCACTGGCCAAAAACAAATGTAGTACTTCTGCCATGTCTGAGAGCTGGAGCCTGGGAATATTTTCCTGGAATGTTATCCTGAAACATACCAAACCCACAAGTAGGATTGGCGACTCTTCCACACCGTGTACTAGACACTTCAGCATCCCTACTCTTGTCATGCATTTACTCGTCTGAGGGGCGGGGGATAAGCATGGACGAAGTGCTGACCTCAAGTCCCTGGACTGTTAATTAGCTGTGACCTGAGATTTGCCACTCCTCCTCTTTGTCCCTTGTTTTCCTCAACTGTTAAGTGGGAATAAGAAGGCAATATAAACATCTTACGATCCAGGAGGATCAAATAAGAAAATGTACAGATAAGCTGAAACTATTTTTGACTAGTGGACGTGTGTCTAGAGAAAGAAAATAGCCTGTATCCAACAAGGTATGTCTGAATCTCATAGGTAGGGGCACAGGTGCCCCCTGGACACCTGAGAACATCTTTAGGACCAGGACCACCTATATTCACTTGCTCTTTGCCCAGTCAGCAAACTTGCTTTCCCAGCCCATGTCCTGGGCTCTGGGGAACAAATGACTCAGGTCTGATCACCGAGGGGCTTACACCTGGGGAGAGGTGAGGAGCTTTGGGAATAGCATCTGAACCACATTGCATCTGCCAGGAGTGGGAAATGACTGAGGAGCAGTGAGAACTAGAACAGGGACTTTTCCAGGAGTCGAGTCCTTTCTCCCCTTCAGGCTCAGGAAGGCCCAAGATGGGTCAAAGCAGAGGAGGCCATACTCATACCACAGAACAGCCCCAGGGAAGAACTGTGTTACCTTTGAAGCCCAGAGCCTTGGGGGAGGAAAAGTATCACAGGTAGGCTAACTCCTTCCCCTGAAGACATCTGGCCAAGGTTTCGAAGGAACCTAGAACTGGGCCTCCAGAAAGCCAGGCCAGCCTCTCTATGTACAACCTGAGTCCAATTTATTTGAAGAGGGAGTCAGAGGCCTGAGCTTTTAATCCTAGCTCTGCTGTGTGACCGTATGCAAGGCCCTGCCCATCTCTGGGCTTCAGTCTGTGTACACAGCAATAGCAAAGACTGTTCCAGTTTTGGCATTAGGGACAAACTCAGGCTGGCAGCCTGCCCAAGTTTCGGCATACTGAAAGCCTAAAGAATACTGAGTACTAAAAATCTGAATGCTCAGCATTGAGAGCTTGGAGAGGTTTCAGTAGCAGGGTTCGGTCCCTGTCCCCTCTGCTGAAGGGGGTGCAGCTTCCCAGCTGGCATTCCCTCAGCCTTTGTCACCCCCTCTTCATACCTGCCTCAGGCGTGTCTGGTCTTCTGAACTCTCTCCTCCAGAAAGCTTTTCCTCCAAGCAAGTTAAGGTGTGCATGTGCTCCCTGAGGTGAGCCAATTATACCCATGTCAGATCTGCCCCATGAAGAAAGAGGCTTAAAGGAATAGAGGTATTGCTGTCCAAGAATCAAGTCAAATCATTTCCTGAACGCCTGTTAGGAGTTACCCAAGCAGCCTTCACTACAGTTCTGAGGTACTTCCCCCGGCAATGGCGTAGCTGTTAATAGCCCACCAGGATTTATGTTCACCTCACTCCTGCGGCCATACATGTCCATCATTTCAAGGGATACTAACCCTCCAGGCTCAGGCCTGGGTGCCCAGGGCCCAGAATGGAGAAGAGAAGCAGGGAGGGATTTAGATTAGACCCACCATTCTGGGTGGTGGGTGGGTAGGTGGGAGGAAATAAAAAATACAGATAATCCAGCTGTGTAACCTTGTATCACTTAAGCTCTCTGAGCCTCAGTTTTCTCATTTGTGAAGGAGACACCTACACAAGGTGGTTGGGAGGAACAAGTGAAAAGCTGCATGAAAAGCACAGGGCCTGACACATAAGCACTCAGAAATGGTGACAACTGGAAGAAACACTGTCTTTCCAGCCATAGATCCCAGAGGGTTGAGAAATTGGCCTGGGCAGAGAGTCGGCTGCTGGCGACTCCTGGTGGCCACTGGATGAGCCAGGGTATGAAGGTGGCTGCCTTGGGGAGAGACTTCCAAGTCTTAGATTTGAAGGACACTGGACTCCTGAATCCTTGAGTAAGGAAATTTAGCCATTTAAGGCTTTTTTCCCTGAGGCTTTTTCTGTGCCAAACCTGATTCCAGGGGATATTCTGTTCCCATCACGGCCTCTTTCAAGAGCTCCCTGACTAAAATTGGGAGGTAGACACAAAACAAGAACCAGGAGCCTCCCGGCCAGTATGGTAGGGGAGGGAAGGTTCCCAATGAGGGGACCCTGAAGGACATATTTGAACTGGGGTCTAAGAGGGAAGACTATGCTGGATACATTCAGAATAGCCAAGAAATGGAACTGCAGCTGAGGCCAGCAGGGTCACATCCTAAGGACTTTGAATTTCATGCCCAGGGGTTTCTCTGCCAACAACAGGGGAATTTTCAAGAGTTGTTTATGTAACTAACACCTCAAAGTCACTCGGACCATGGGCTTAGTGGGGAAACACCTTCTAGGAGGTGACCTGTAGGGGCAACAGGGTCAGAGAAGAATTGGACAGGGAAGGCCCAGGCCTTACATCAGAGAAGGTGCCCAGGACGTGGCTGAGTATGTTATTAGCGCTCAAGACAGTGAGCAGGGCCAAGGGCGGTGACAAATCTGGGAGTCGGCAGAGTACAGATTCGGGTATTAACACTCTTTGGCATATGCCAGGAGCTTTAGAAGCATTAATGCATTGAATCCTCACAACAATGGAGAGTATTATTAACCCATTTTGCAGGAAAGAAAACTAAGGCATAAAGACATCCACTTGCTCAGAATCATCCTGCTACTGAATAGTCGGGCTGATTCAAACCCGAACCATCTGGTTAGAGTTCAGGCTCTAAGCTCTCTATGCCCATCCTAGGAATGATTTCCAAAGCCCTGGGACTGACAGAGATCCCCAAGGAAGACTATAAAGGGGTATAGTCGTAAAGAAAAGAGGTGAGAGTTCCGTAGTAAAGTCTTTGAATCTCAGCCACGGTCAGCCCCGTGGCTCAGAGACGGAGGTGCCCTCTGCTGCCCGGTGAATGACACAGGCCTACATGGTGACCCCTCCCAAGCCTGTGCTGCTGCAAGAAGTAGGGGGTCCAGGTTCCAACCTCTCTGGTCTGCCTTGTACCCCAATCTATAGATTAAATTTGGTGCCCTTTTAAGTGAATCCCAGGACCGGTCCACAGCTGCCCTCCACAAAGCACGCACACACAAGCCGCTCCCGCCCACTCCACACTGCACCCCTGGAGCGTGACCCTGACCCCAGTCTAAAGGCAGGCCTGGTGGACCCAGCACTTGACATCATTCTCTGGTTTGCTAGAACATTTTCCACAGGATCCTTTTGGGCTACATCGACTTCACCCTCCTCGGAATTTCCAGGGCCCCGCCTCAGCCTGTCTACATCGGGTGTGAAGCAGGAGGGTGTTGGTTTGGCCTCAAAGCCCACTTGGACCTGATGGGTCCAAGAGCTGCTGCCCTTTGCTGCCTCCAGGTCTTTATTCAGCCGCCTCCTACATTAGACGTGAACAGCACACGGGCCTGGCCACTTCTCCCCTGCCCCACCAGGGGACCACCAATCCCAAAGCCTCTCTGACTCCTGCATACTGCAAGGAGGTAAGCAGACACCAGTTCAGTTGCAATTTTTTTCCCACTTTGGGGAAAGTGAGAAGACAGAAATAGAAAAAACACAACAATATTTGGTTTTTATATAGACAGGCTAGGTCCTGCCAGGCCTTCTTCCCATTAAATGCCCTGAGGTCACACCCACACACACTCCCACCACACCCCCAGCCCTGGACCCCTGGAGCCTGTGGAACAGGGCAAAGTTCTCCTCTGGCTTCAGGCTTCACTCTGGCGCTCCAGCCCAGGCAGGGGGTCGTGATACTAATGCCAGAGCACAACCTTCCGGGCCTGGTCCACGCTCACCACATGGTTCCCAGCGCAGCACCAGGCCACAGCGTTGATGGCAGTGCTGAGGAGAGAGGTAGGCTTCAGGGGGCATCAGGAACTGGGCCTACAGCCTGGCTCTGCCTCTCATTGTAGACCTGGAAGGTCTGAGGCCCTCCCTGTACCCATTTTTTCACCTGCAAAATGGGCTCTTGGGGGCTGTGGTTCCCATTCAAAGCAATGGGAAGGCACCTGGTGAACAGTGAAGGGCTGGAGGGTGGGTAGGGTAGATGTGGGGACAAGGCCTGGGGACCCCAAAGTCCCAAGTTTGTCAGAACCTCAAATCAGTTTAGCAGGACTGGGAGGGCAGGGAAGCAGGTGATGGCAGTGCTCACCAGTGGGGTCCTTGAAGTCTACTCTCCAGTTTCCCTGTGTCTACATCCCAGATGTAGAGGGCTCCATCCCCGGAACCTGCCAGTGCATAGTGTCTGTCTGGGCTGCGGTGGCCAGGGCAGAACAAGAGAAGGAAGATCAGAGGTGAAGAGAGACACACACACATACACATAGGGTCAGGGCACACTTGGGCTCTCACAGACACACCTGAACACAGCTTTAGTCCAGTCAGAACTGCACCTGAAGCCATCAGCCCTGGCGACAGACAGGGTCAAGGTCAGAACAGAGGTGGCTGCCAGTCCCTGCCCTCAGCCTCACGACCTTCCTCTCTCCATCAAAGGGCTATGCATCTCAGCAGGGCCTGGTTCAGAGGGGCCTCCACGGTAGGCCACCCGCTGACAGGCCCCCGAGAGCCTTCTACAGGGGACAAGAGGTCCACATGATCCAGTCAAGCCCTAGGTCAGTGGGCACAGGGTGGGTACCTGAACACCTGGCGGATATTGCTGACACGCAGATCAATGACCTTGAGTGTGTTGTCTCGGGAACAGCTGAGCAGATGGAGCTGATCTTGGCTGAGGCTCAGGGAGGTGACCCGGCCCTGCACAGGGATTACCTGAGTGCAGCAAGGCCCCCTGAGGAGCAGAGACAGAGATGACACCAGCCCTCTCAACAGGGCTGCTCCTGATAGGTTAACAAGGTCCAAAGGTGCCCGACTCTGACCTCTGAGGCACAGGCAAAGACTAATCTCCTGTGGCAGCCAGCCCTCCAGCAGGAACCTGGGCAGCCTTTGTCTAGAAGTGGAACCCATGAAACTCTCAGGTCACAAAAATAAGTGCCAGAGGGAAAACAATGAAAGTCTAAGTGTGTGAAAGAGACAAAAGAGTTTCAAACAGTGGTCACTGCAGACCAGTAAGGAGAACCTGAGGCAGCCCTAATGTAGCACCAGCAGAAGCTCTTATACATTCAAGTCCCATGTCAGGCTCTGAGATTTAAAAAATAACTACATTTTTTGTCCCTTTTAAACTAAAAGTGGTAACTAAATGGAAAAGGGGGCTTTTCTGTGTGGGTGGGCAGGCCAGAGTCCAGTGGTTGGACTGAGATCCACTAAGAAGGTGCTACAGCTCCTGGGGAGCAGATGGGCCTTCAAGATGTGAAGCCCAGCACAGAGAGGCCACCAGCCGGCAGTGCCAGCCCCACGGCCTCACTTACCCAAGGTCCCCTCACCTGCCATGGCCAGAAAAAGGAAAAGGAAATATGGGAGCCGCATCCCCCCACCTCCACCACCCCACCCACAGCCCAGGCCTGTTACCTGCTATCCCAGAAACGAATCTTCTGGTCACTATGGCCACTAATGATGATATGGTCCCCACACACCACGTCGTTACAGTAGGAAAGGACATTGATGGTCCTTGAGCCTGAAGACCAAGGAGCAGAGAAGGGTAATCAGGAGCCAACCTAATGGACATCTGGAGAAGCAATGCCCAGAAAGCACGCAGGGCCAGAGCCCCCACACACACTAAAGGCCAGGTCTCCTGTTTCCCAGTTCCAAGCCTCAGGTCACCAAGAAACTAGGCAGAAGGCATCAATGAGGGAACAAAAGAGAGGGTCTCAGAGCCACTTCCAGAGAGCAGGCCGAGGTCCCTCATGGTCCAGCCTGGGGTCTCCAGTCGGTGGGGAGGGGAGGTAGGGTCTGGGCCTCACAGTAGGCGCGGCCGAGGTCCCACTCTTTCACCGTCCGATCTCGGCTCCCAGTGACCGCCTGGTGCCTCGTTAACTTGAATTTGGCAGCTGTCACCTTGTCTGTGTGTCCAGATAGTGTCTCCTGCCCCCAACCCAGGTATGGATCAAGGACATAGCCAAGAGCCCAGCATACCCTCCCCTCCAGACCCAAGGCATCACCCCTGACTCCCACAACACCTCCCCAGTTGGGTCTCACCTTGGACTGTGCCTCCCCCACTTTCCATAGTTGGGCAGCCTGATTGTAAGTAGCTGCTAATACCTGGGAGCCCTGGAGAGACAGGAGTGGAAGAGAGATATTGTAGCTCTGGCCTGGCTAGAGACAACATCCCTCAGGCTGGAGAGCTGGGGCAGGGGTTGCCTTGGAGCTTCCCACAGCTCAGGCTACACAGGCAGGCCAAGAAGCCTCTGAGCTCAGGGAGGAATATTTGTGTCGGAACCCAAGGGCCTGGTTCTAGGACACCCATTAAGTTCCCTCAGGTCCAGAGGCCCCACCAGCCCAGGGAAGAAACTGAGAGGAAGGGTATCCCATGCCACTGGGGCAAAGTCCCCTCACTGAAGGGTCGAAGTCCACACTAGTGATGCTGCCACCAGCTCCTTCGAGGGTCTGGTTGGCCTCCAGGCGACCTGGGGGGATCAGAGGAAGACAGAGGTGAAATGAGATCACTAACCTCATGATAAGGAGGGGCTGGGACTGGGGGTAGGAAGATCAGTCTCTCCCAAGTTAGAGGACAGAACTGCTGGGTCTGTTCTGAGTCTGGACTAGCTGTAACTCCCAGAACTTTCAGCAGGGGGCCCCAAATGACAGCTGGTCATCTCACAGGGCTGGAGTGGGCCAGAGAGACGGGATACACACAGGTCACACCCCAAGCCATGGCCAGGCCAGCTGGAGACTCATCTCCTCTAGGAGGCCTCCAGGAGCCAACGCTGACTCCCAACATGCCCCCTCTACAGCTAACATTTGTCTCCTAACATCCATTGAGTTCTGAGAGCTCAAGTGATGGATACTACCTTTGGAGATGGCCTAATGATCCCAGTGACCTGCTCAAAAGCCTGTCCCTACCGAACCTCACATAGGGGACCCACACTATAGGATCCCCAGCTGCCCCCAACATGAACTACCTTAGCTCAGTCCTCCCTATGCTGCAGGTCTGGACCCTAGGAGCTAGAGGCTCCATCCTTCAGGGCAGTGTGCCCAGAACTCGTGAAGGGGTCAGCTGGCCACAAGATTGTTCCAGGTGAGGAAACACAAGGACACACAAGACCTCTTCCCACTAAGGAGCAAACCAAGAGTGGGGTCTGGAGCAAAAGCAGTGGGCTGGCCTGTGAGGGAGGCATCCTCACCACCCACGATGTTCCAGAGGTGGATGAGGCAGTCAGCTCCTCCAGTGGCCAGGAGGCTGCTGTTGGGGCCAAAACGGACAGCATTGACCTCAGAGAGGTGGGCATCCTGTAGGGGGTGAAAGGGAGATTGGTATCCTGGTCCTCACCTCCCCCCACACATACACAAACACCCTTTGAACATACGCACAGGCTCTCACACACATACACGCACATACTGGGTCTCTGTCCAAACCGTGACTTACAAACCCATCCCTGCCAGGCCTCATCACCTCTGCCTGAACCCCTGTCACAGCCTCCCCCTATATTGCCCCCACACTCCCCTGCTTGGTCTCCCGGCCTCCCATCTCTCCCTCTCAGTCCATCCCCCCATTATAAAATGCTGAGTGGATCCCACCACAAGTGCAGAAGCAAACTCCTGCTCCTGCTAAACCCAGCCTGTTTCCCAGACTCCCCTGGACCACCCTGGGGCCTGCATCCCACTCCATGCATGTGGCCCAGCTCCTCTCTTACCAGCACATCCTGGGCCCAAGTAGGAAGCCGGGCAGCCACACACACAGGGATGCTCTGGTATCGTTGCTCGGGGGCTCCCCCAACTGAGTGGACTCGCCTCTTCTTAAAACTGGGGTGAGAGGTTTAGGAGGACATTCAGCAAGGACTTCTAACATGGGAGCCCTTAAGCTCCTCTGAGGCAAACAAAGAAGCAGACAAGGCAGGCAAAGAACACGGCCCAGAAGTGCAGCAACTGTGCCCCCCAACCCTGCCTCTGACCCTAGTAGCCAGTGTGGTGATGGGAGGGGTACTGAGACAGGGCAAGGGTGGAATATCCAGAGAAAACTCAGGGGTGGGGTTTCAATCCTGGTCTTGCTATCCTGGCTTGATGGTGAATAATTCCCTAATGCTTCTGAGCCTTTTTCCCAAATGAGTGGTAGTTCCTGTCCGGCCTGAGGCTGGAGTCGGTCCCCTTTAACGACTTTAGATGAGGGCCTGAAATAGAGCCAGACGGGCTGGGAAGGAGACCACGTACCCAGCTCCTGCCTCGAGACTCAGCAGCAACTTCACACAGACAACTGGGTGACATATGGATGGACAGAAGCTCACACACAGACCAATCCTGGGTCCTGGGAACCTGACACAGAGCTTCACACACAGGGGGGTACACACACACTTACTCCAGAAGCCCCTTCATCACATCCACACAGCGGGACAGCGTCAGGGAGGTGGCAGAGGCAGACCTGGGGCAGAATCAAGAGATGTGCTATGGCACTGGCAGTACACTCTGTACCAGAGACCCTGAGGCTCAAAGCCTCAAGTCCTAGTCAAGAACTTGGTTCCTCCAAGACAAGGACAGTAGGATGACCCAGAGCAGTCCCAGCAAAGTGGTGGCACAAGAGATTTGGCAATGAAATCTCCCAAAGTTTCCACCACAATGGTAAAAGCTATCTCACCACCCAGAGTGCCCCAACAAAAATTGCTGGGAGGCTGACCCGGGGCCTGTGGGAGGAGAGGCGTAAAGCTAGCCCCCAAGACTGGTAGAGCACAAGGCTAGGGGCGAGGGTGTGGGAAAACCTATACCTGCAGAGTGACCTCAAAAATGCTCATGTGTCCTGGAATGCCGTGACCCACTAGAACAGCCGAGGAGTTTGGGGACCAGCATCTGGTGCCCCTCCCCTAGGTTCCTTCACTGGACACTAGCTACTTACCAGGAAAGGCTGAAGAGACAAAGCCTTCAGGCAGTGCGATGTGATGGAAAGGGGGCAGCCTTATTGCCAGACAAGTCAATAACTGGGAGAGATCAAGAGGAGGGATCCCCAAGAACTGGAGGTCCATTCCAATACCACCCATGTGAATTCACATCTACACATGCTTTTATATATTCACACTCAGGTAAGCTCACCCAGCTCGTACAGAAATGTACTCTCATGGCCCTGCGTTTGCACCGGCTTGCTCATCTATGGGCACACATCCATGCCTGAACAGCTGAGCCCCGGGCCTTGCCTACATGTCCCTCTTGGTGACCCCCTTTCACCAGCCTGACACCCCACCCCCAGGGCTCTGGTGCCAGGGAAAAGAAAAAGGTGAGGACAAGGATCGGGATTCCAGAGCTCTAAGCATTGGTTGGAAGACCTGTTCTGAGAGACATGAGCCGTGTATCCCAGTGTTTCCCAAGGTCCCTCCTAACCCAAGAGCTGGATCCTGAAGAAAGACTCTGCAGTGGGGCCCAGCTCAGAGCTCTGGACAGTTCTCACCTGAAGGACCTGGAGCACTTTTCACCAGCTTCACTCTCCTGGGACGCTGGTTTTGCAGGCAGGGCGAGGACCTCGGCCTCTGACCCCTCCTTGATCCCATCACCTAGGGTGTTCGTACTCCTGGGAGAGGGGAAACCGCTCAGGAGGGCCTGGGGGCCAGCACAGCCTCCCTGCCCCGGCACCCAGCGCAGGGAAGATGTGCAGGCTCTGCCGCCCGTGTTCTGTGGGCTCGGTCTGCATGGCGCCTTGGCACGGCGGCTGCGCAAGAGTGGGGTTGGGCACGCACGTGGCCGGGGGCATGTGCAGGTGGGGCGCGGGTACAACGGTACAGAAGAGGGTGCTGGGAGCACTTGAGCAAACTCGGGAGCGGAGCCTCGAGCGGGCAGGCCCAGTCTTACTCGCTGATGCTCACTGTCCGCTTGGCAGCCTTCTCCAGCTCCTGGGACACCCGCGCCTGCGTGGCCCTGGAGAGGAAAAGGTGTCCTCACAGCAGGAAGCGGCACCAAAACCGCGCGCAGGACCTGGGTCACCGCCGCCTTCCTGCGGGGCGGAGGCGCACCCCTCCTTAGGAGAGGCGCTGGGCGCCGGGGCCTAGAGGGGGCGGGGGAAGTGCTTCCCAAAGGGGGCGCCACCGCAACCATCCCCAGGGGCGGGGCCCCTCACCCACACCCTCACCCACACCCTCACCTTCACCCTCACCCTCACCTTCACCCTCACCTCTCGCGACGCTCGTTGCGCAGGTTGCGCTCCGCGGCGGCGCGCGCCTTGCGCTGCACGAGCCGCTCCAGCAGGTCGCGCGCCTCCTCCTGCAGCCGGCGCAGCGCGGCCTCCCGGAGCGCGGCGAGCGCGCGCAGCTCCTCATAGGCCGCCCGCCGCGCCGCGTTCCGGGCCTGCTGCGCCGCCACCTGCTCCGCTCGCTGCGCCCGCGCCTCTCCCAGGTGCGCCACCCGCGCCTCCAGAGCCGCCAGCCTGGAGGGGAGCGTCCCTGTCACCGTCCAGCGGGAGCCGGTCTCGGACTCGCCGACGGCCTCGCGGCCAGGCCGGGCCTCCCAGACCGACCATGTGGGAAACCCTCGACCCGGCGGTCCTCCCCACCCAGGCGTGGCCTGCAAGCTCCCCGAGGTGGGCGCCGGCCCTCTCGCGCCTCACCTGCTCTGTCGCTCCTTCAGCACCGATTCCAGGGCCTCCAGGGCCGAGCTCTTCTCCACCACCTGGTAGGCCATCTGGGGGCGTCAGGGGCCGGACAGGTGGGGACAGGTGGGCGTGAGCGCCTCCACGGGGCTCACGCCGCGCCTCCAGCCCCTCCAGGGCAGGGGAGATGGTGGGGCAGGGTCTGCCACCCCGCCCACCCCCTTCGCTGCAGAGAGCTGAGGCTCAGACAGGTGTAGGGTCGTGCGTGGAGAGATGCATGTGGGACAATACTGAGGCTCTGAAGTCTAAGGGCTGAGTTTCCAGCCCAGCAGTGCCATTTATATTCTGGGGCCCAGGGTAGTCATTTAACCTCTACCTTCTCACCTGTAACCTGGGGGCGGGCGTGCTTACCTCACAGAGTAGTACAAATTTATTGTGAGGGAGAGTATTTCCAATAATGGCAAACGTTTATGGCACACTTCTGTGGGCTATGCCTGTTCTGAACACTGCACCTAGGAACTCTTTTGAATCCCCATACCACCGTGAGGTAGGCACTGCTGCCTTCCCTCATTTTACACCTTCTCATGTGGGCCTGGTGAGAGGCAGATCAAGAACACTGGCGCAAAGAGGTTAAGTGACTTGCCCAGTTAGGCAGTGCAGATATTTGAGCCCAGGCCACCACCTAACATTGTGCTCCAAGGGAGTGGGGGTAGGAGGGGGTAAAAGCACAGTATGCACGGTGTAAAGGGTGAGTGGACAGGAAGGATTCGAGGAATGTGGGTTCTGTTCCCCGCCTCCCCAAGCATGGATCCCAACATGCAACAAGGAACCTCACACCCAGGCACACAGGAATGGACGGTGGGAACACAGGGTCCAGGCTGAATACTGGAACTGATCCCAGGCCAAGAATGGGGGTGAGGGGCATCTTATCCATACCTCAACTTCACTCAGCAGGACTTCAACCAAGAGTCAAGTGCTGGGAAAGCCACAGGGATGAAATTTAATTCACATCTTTTGGAGTCCAGGGGTCTCTGGGGATGGATAGACCCCAGCAAAGCAGTTCCCACCACTGTGGCAAAGAGGAACTGAGGAACTGACCAAGCCTAGGGACTCCTGTTGCTAACCTGTCCCTGTGACCTTTCTCATGTGGGCCTGGTGGGGGGCAGGTGGAGGGTCCCTGTGTGGCCGGCCTGGGGAGGGATGCGCGTGCAGGGCAGGGAGCCTGCTCTCACAGTGGCCCAACTATAACGTTAGTAATTCCTTTCACCTCTGAGCAGTCAGACCACCCGCTTCCACTTTCTCACCTGTCATTTACTTTCTTGATGTTTTGTTATTCAGTGTTTTATTTGATGCTGTTTGAAATTCAAATTATAGAGATAGAAAATAGAACAGTGGTTGCCAGGGGTGGTTTAGGGAGAGAAATGATTTTTAACAAAAAAGGGATAGCCAGAGGAATATCTTTGTGGGGAGGAAATATGCTGTGTCTTGATGGTCACACAGATCTATACACATGACAGTGACAAAGGAGTACATACATACTTTATAACAGTACAATTCACTTGTTTACAATTCACTTGTGACCAATGGGCGAAACTGGGGGAGGGGTACACAGGACCTCTCTGTACTGCCTCTGCAACTTCCTATGACTCTCTCATTATTTCAAAATAAAAGGTCAAAATAATAATGATGATAATGATACGTGCTTATTGTACTATGTGGAACAGTATTAATTAAAGTCACCCCTCATCCCCTGGCATGTCCAGTGAGAACTGGCTGGTGAATGTCTCAGGAAGTGACAGGGAGAACTGAGGGGAAGCGGTACTTAGACGTTCCCAGGCAAAGTGGATCTTGCACTCAGAGTCAAGAGTGGCAGGAAATGAACCAGGGCCTGAGAACTGGGAAGCCAGGCTCATGGGCTTTGGGAGATGCACCCCAAACTGATTATGAGCCGTGATGGTGAAAGAGGCTTTCCCTTTTTCACTGTATGGGCTTCTGTGCTCCCGAAATCTTCACAGCAAAGATGTATTTGTGTGTTGCTTGTCTTTTCTTAATGGAAATCAATTTTATTATTAAAACATATCACTCTGAGTGCTATACAGAGAATGGATGGAGGTGCCAAGGGATGAGTCATTCAGGGAAGGAATGAGGGTAACTTGGACCAGGCCGGATATGGTATCAGAAACAGAGAAGTTGACGGATTTGGAGGAAGGACCCTAACAAGCTGGTGACTAGCTGAGGATAGAGCAATGGGAGTGTCACAGGTGCTCCTCCCTGCGTTTCTCGCCCAGTGACGACTAATGCAGGGAGGGCTGGTCAACTCCATTCATCATTTAATCTACAAATAATTATTAACCCTGGCCTGTAGAGGGAGGTTTCTGGGATACAATGGAGAGAAGCCAAAGGAATCCTAGGCCTTGGGGAGCTCACAGTCCAAAAGGGGGCTCAGATGTTTGAGAATTAAATGCAACTTATATGTCAAATTGCAACCACAAGAGACACATTCCAGGAGAGGCGCTCTACACTAGCTGGCCAGATGATTTGGCATGTTGTAACTGAGTATGTGTTTACTGGCATGTCAGTCTTGTCCAGTGGATTCAAACTCCAGGGAGCCAGGTCTTGTTAACTGCTGTATCCCCCATGCCATATATAAATATATATTTGATAATATAATATATTAATAATTAATAATATATTAATATTCAATAATATTAATATATTGTCAATAATTATTTGTTGAAAGGGTAAGTCAGGATCAAGAAAGTGGGTCTTGTAGAAGGGAGTTCATATGCTGACTCCACCTCTCCAAGACTCTGTTTCCTCCTCTGCAACCATAAAGTTGTGAAAGGTAGCTGAAACAATTCTTAAGCCAGTGCCTGCCAGGATCACCTCTCAAAGTTAGCTATGTTATTACAGGGAAGATGTGCAGACTCTGCCCGCATTCTGTGGGCTCAGTCTACATGGCGGCCTTGGCACTGCGGGGAGGTGGTAAGTGTGAGTTTAGATGTGATTTCCAACAGAAGCTGAGCAAGATTCTGGAGCTCAGAAGAGAAGGCTGGACTAGAGAGGGTCTGAAAGTGAAACTTCTCAAGCGCAAGTGGTGAAACAGAAGCCAGCAGACACCATGGGGTGTGTGTGGGGGGGAGACAGCAATGTCAGGTGGTGGTAGCACACCCTGCCTCGGAAGTGGAACAGTTTATTCTTTCCATTTGCAAATGTTTATCGAGCATCAGCCTGGGGGGGACCAGGCTGGACCACTGGAAGGGAAAATGGGCTGCTCCCCCCCCACACACACACACACTTGTTCCTGATCTCTCACCTCACCTCCAGCTGCAGTTAGAGCCCACTTCATCCTGGGCTGCAGAGCCAAGCTATAAAGCACCCTGAACCTGTGCAGCCTCAAAGCATTGTGCTTGGGGAAGTCCCTCATGTGTGGACTCCCTTGGGCCACATCCCCTGCAAAGTCCTGGATCCTGATTCCATCCCATTTTTCTCAGACCCCAGTCCAGCCTACCTCACCGCACACCAGACGAAGCCCCTCCTCTTCTTCTTGCCATTTTGCCTTCACAGTGGTTGGTGATGGGACTTGGGCTGAGTCAAATCCAAACTCCTCCCTGCCAAGTAATCAGAGAGTTGTACTCGTCCCTCCAAGCCCCCAGTGCCTCAAGGAGCTCCAGGGGTGCACAAGAAAAGTGTGAAACAAGAGCCATAAATTTTCTAAATTTGGAAGCCAGCAAGCAAGTAGAGATGGCAAGTCTCCAGAAGCTGCCCAGGAGTCCTCAGCTCTAGGGACCTCCCATGCCACGGATTCCCTGGTCCAATCCACCACTGGTTCTTATTTTCACTCCAGCTTTAGGACAGATTGCAAGACCTTTACTGTAGGCATCAGGTAAGGCCTTGGGAGACAGAGAGGAAGGGAAAAGACAAGTCTGGGGGTGGGAGGGGAAGGAGATGGGACAAATGCAAGGATAGACTGAGAAGAGTAAGGAAGCAGGGCATTCTGAGCAGCTGGACTGGGGAAAGGCCCAAGAGCCCTCCTGCTCCCTTCCCTGGGCAGAGCCAGAGGCTGAAAAGACGCCAGGGAAATAATGAGCCCAGCATAGACAGTGGGGGCAGGGCCCAAACACAGACAACCCATTGTGACCACGAACACACATACACTCACCAGGGGCCCTGGTGAGTAGTGACATCGCTTGGCTCTGGCTGGAGTTTCTCTGAGACCCTGGTCAGCAGCTCAGCCTTCTCTAGGAGACGATTATCTAGGGGTGCAAGAAAGTGAGCCTGGGGCAAAGACAGACACTTCTTTTTTTTTTTTTTTTTTTTTTTTTTTTGAGAGGGCAGACAGGTGACCAGCAACACCCCAGGTTGAGACTAAACTTCCTACAGAATTGAATAATGTGCAGTAGGAAAGGGGAAGGGAAAAGGGCAGAAACACTTTTTTTAAATGAAAGAAGCATCATCAACTAAGCTTTGGAGACGTCAAAATTGCAACCCACTTTCCTCTCTCACTGGAGGATGACTGCTTTTGATGAGCTTCCCTGAAGTGCTCGTTGCTCTGGGTCAGTGTGACACCCTCCCTCTGATGATGGAAGGGGCAGAGGGAAGAAACCAGACAGGAGACACGACTGCCAGGGCCTGGCCTGAAAGACAGAGACTTTCAATCAGATTCCTCCCAGATGAGTTACTCCTCTGGCTGGGAGGGCTGCAGGAGCCCAGGGATGCAGAATGGAGAAGCTACCTTCAGGCTGGGCTCTTCCCCTTGCCTGAGGGGTGTTTGTATAGCTGGCACAACTTGGTCACAGCACCAGCCCCCAGGTAGGCCCTTCAAGAAGAACTGCTCTACCAGGGACAGAGGGCAACCACTGCTAGGGAAGGAGATGGTTGATCAGTGGCCAGTGAGGGTCCTACCAGAAGGAAGGAAGGGGCCAGGGATTGATTCATCCCTGTCCCAAGACAGGGCCTGGCCACAAAGGATGAAGAAACAAATCAGCTCCACCTGCCTGTGGCCTTTGTCATATTACTTACCCTCCAGGAGTTCTAGCTTTTTGGACTAAATAGTTATTCTGATGTCCCAAAGTTTCTGTTCTTTCCAATCCAGAACAAAAGGTCTCTTGAGTTTGACAGAAAGCCTCTAGAAACTGCTAGAGTTTGGTAGTTTCTGCAACAGACCCGTAACACACCTCCTTCCCCTACCCATAGTCACTTCCTCTTTCCAGGGTACAGTGGAGGTTATTAGCACAGGCCCAGTTCCTTTTCCTCACCTAGACCCCTGTCTGCAACCTCAGCTGAGGTCCCTAACCTAGTTCTCTCACAAGGGCACTGCAGAGGTACCCCCAGCAAATATAAAGAAGGTGCCATTTTGTGAATTTTCAGGTGAGAAATCTGAGGCTTGAGGATATGTCCTGCTGAAGACCACAGAGAGGACTAAACTGTCAACTGTGATTTCAGCCTTGCAGGGTCTCTCTGATCTCAGATTTGCAGCTCTTTGGGAGTGGGGGTGACTCCTCCTTCTAGATGAAATGCTCCATAGCCCCTCAGAGCATTGGGCAGGGCATCTGGCCTAATAACCCTACAGGGAGAGAACCAGCAGCCTGGGAAGTTGCAGGGAAATCTCCCAGGATAGGAGCAGCAATGCAGTTGGGGGTCAGGGAAGAGAAGTGGTCCGCAGGGAGGTTCAGGTGGAGTGATTAAACTGCAGCCAAGATTAGGCCAGAGCTGAAGGGATTCTGGTTAGACTTTCAACCCAGATATACAATCTCCGCTGACAGGGAGCACTGCACATGTTCACCTGTTTATTCCCTGCTGGAACTACTGTATCAGTTTCTGACCAGCTCCCCAGAAACTATTCTAGGAGAATCTGACTCTCCCGGCTAAGCTAAGTACTCCTAGTATGCACCCCTAAGCCCCTGCTTTTTCCTCATGCTGGAGTTGGCTGGGCTCAGAGATGCTCCAAAAACCTGAGCCAGGATCACCATCAGGCAAAGCCAGAGGCTGCATTTCCTCCCTGAAGAACTGGGGTTTCATTGATTGCCTCGACTGTCCAGAGGAGCTGCTCTAGACAGTCCCGTGTTTCTTCGCTGGACTGTGGGGACCAAATGGACTGACCTGGCCCTATTCTGGGGACCGCCTGGAAGAGGGAAACACAAAAGACCCTACAAATCCACCACTCCCAGACAAGACCCGGCCTAAGAAGCCCAGCCAGCGAGAGGCAGGGCCAGGCCCTGCGGGGAAGGAGTGGAGAGGCGCGGGGACCGAGCTCCTCCCTGGAAGCAGCTCCTAGCGGCGCCTGGGTCGGGAAGGGCAGGAACGCGGGCTACTGGGCGGTGGGGCGGAACAGACAAGTGGTTCTGCAGGCCCAAGGCCCGGAGGCGACCCTGCGTTGGCGCACTTGGGCCAGAACCCTCGAAGTCCGAGGCGTCAGACCAGGCCCCTCCCCGCGCCCCCACCCCCCGCGCCCCTGCTAACTAGGGCGCACTCACAGGCCGGCACCAGCTCCAGGAAGAGCGCCTTTTGCGCGCGGTCCCGCTGGCGCAGCTGCCGCACGATGTGGCGCTTCCAGGGCGCGGCGGGGGCGTCGTCGGCGCGGGGCCCCGCCATGGCCGCCGTCCCCGGCCCGCGCCGCGCCGGGTCGGGGCAGCGGGAGGCGCGGCCGGGCGGGGCGCGGCCTCGGGGAGACTCCGTGACGTCCTGGGCGGGCGGGAGCGGGGAATCCCCGGGTTGCACCAAGCGCGTTCTCGGAGGGGGGACTTGAACGCACCGGGGGACAGAAACCGCTCCAGGGTGGAGACCACCCGGACCCCGCCCACGCCTCTCACCCGTGCGGGGTCTCCTGTGCGGCCCGGGGCTTAAGCCGGGGTGGAGGCCGGAGCCCCCGGGATGGCCGCCCCCGCGCCTCTTGGCGCGTTCCTCAGGCGGGACCTCCAGGGCGACGGTCGCAGCCTCTCGGTTCCCGGCGCGAGCGCAGCGGGGCCGGCGCCCGTGCACGGCCCGCCCCGGGCCAGGCTCTGTCTGCGGGGCCTGCAGCTCGCGCACGCCGGGCGCTGCCTCAAGGCGCTGCAGATCTGTGAGGGCACCGCCAAGTAAGAGAGCTCTGAGGAAGAAGGGGCTGCAGGGCAGGGATGGTGCTTTCCGTGGTGGCAAAAGCCGGATGAAGAATTGGCCCGGAGGAGGTAGTTTTACAGGTAGCGGAGAACAGGTGAAGAGGTTTAGTAACATAAAAAGTCAGTTAAATAAAAATTCCTGTTGGATTCCGGCCTGGAAGAACAGCAGACAGGTTTGGGGAGCAAAGTTTAGGGCCCCATTCGTAGCAGAAAAAGTTAGGTTCCTGAGAGTTAAGAGTACAGCTGATTTCATCTAGCGAAACACTTGCCCAAAAGAAAGAGGCTTCCCTGAGGTTGCTCAGGTTGAGCTGTCCAGCATCCTGGCACCCCAACTGGCACCTCAGACCTCAGAGGTTCAGTCTATTTGGGTTGCCTCTGGAGGAGCAGCATCTGTTACAGGTATAGTTGGCCGTGAATCAGTGGGCCCAGCCTAGCCCTGGACACGCTGTTCCCGGCAGACCCCAGCAGGCCCTGCTGTAGATGAGTGAATGTGGACTTGTCTATGCCCAAGAAGCGATTGAAACTAGACCCTGTTGGGTGGCTACACAAACCCGAACGTGACAGCTCTGTTGAGATGCAAGTGGGTTCCGTCCTCCACATCATTGTCTTTGACCCTCATGTCCTTGGTTCATGCTGTGTCTACTGTTTGCAACACCTTCCCCTCTTAGTTCCTCTGACTCCTCCTCATGGGTCATCTCCTCCAGGAAAGCCCTTCCACTGAGTTAAGTCTTCTCTGACCTCAGCCCCAGCCCCAGCCTAGCCTGTCTGTCGAAGGAGTAATAGGTGGAACATTTACCAGAAGGTGTGCCCAGAGGGCACAATTGGCTATAGTAATGAATTCCCTTCAGCACTGGCTGACTCAGTTGCCTGGGTACACCACCAAAGTTGCTGGAACTTTGGTGGTGGTATACCTTTTTTTTTTTTTTTAAAGATTTATTTATTTATGCATACAAGAGCTGGGGTACAGACCAGAGATGCAGGGGGTGAGAGGATTCATCAGAAACAGAGTGGGGAGGGGCCTCCCCGGTGGCGCAGCGGTTGAGCGCTGGGTTGCGAAGCTGCCCGCAGCCTCTGCAGCGCCAGTTCGATCCCCGGCTGCTCCCCGGCCACCAGAGGAGGGTCCCACATGGCTCGCAGACCTCTCCTGCCGCCCGCTGCTCCCCTCAGCAGTGTACTTCGGTCCTTCTGCCTGCTCTGCTCCCCGCTCTGGCTCTGGTGAATTCTCTCACCCTCCGGTGCTTCTGACTGTACCCAGTGCTTGTATAAATAAATAAATTAATTAAAAAAAAAAAAAAAAAAAAAGAAACAGAGTGGGGAGCAGAACAGGCAGATTGACTGAAATACACTGCTGAGGGGAGCAGCAGGTGAGACAGGAGAGGTCGGTTGCGCCATGCAGGTCACCTCCCTAGCCAGGATCGAACTTTGTGCTGTAGTGGCTGCAGATAGCTTCATTGTGCTGAGTCTTAATCCCTTGCGCCACCAGGGAGGCCCCCTGGGGCTGTGTACCTTGAGGGATGTGCTAACAGGGCTCTGCCTGGGGCAAGGGGCTGAGGAGCACTTTTCTCCAGCAGAGAAATTGGAGTTTGGGATTCCTAACCCATTGTTTTTACTCACAGAACACTCCTACATATATTACAATAATTTTGTCATTTTTTAATAGTCTGTGATAAAGAAGTTATTGGCGTTGATTACAAATATTTATCTTCTATCTTTATTATCTGGCTATTTGGTTTCATGTACTACCGGGTTCAGTTCATAATGTAAGTGGCTGGCCTTGTTTTTGAACCTGTTTGAACCCAACCATAACCTTCAAGGAACTGAGCTCAATGGAGGGATCACTTAAGCAGGCAACTCTAGCTCCTAAGATGTGGCTCCTAACCTTTCTCGCCATGCCTGATAAAAGTGTCAGTGGTAGGAAGGTAACCACAATCATCCCTAATGTAGTATATATCATATGCCAGACATCATGCTAAGCATGTAACAGCACACATCAATTTAGCTACAAGAAACAGTGTGAAGGTACCATTGGTGGAAGCAGTCTAGACTCAGAGAAGTTATTTGCCAATGACTATAAGGCAGGGCCTGAACCTGCAGGTCTATGCTCTTCTTTTTTTTTTTTTTTTTTTTTTACAAGAAGACAATTTATTTTAGCAGAAAATAATTTGAAGAGTCCTGTTCACAGACGGCGACCACGGCAACCCCCCTTCCTGCAAGTGCTATCGGAGGGGATGGGGGTGACATCCTCAATCCACCCAATTTTCATTCCTGAGTGGCCAAGGGCTCTGAGGGCTGACTGTGCCCCAGGTCCAGGAGTCTTGGTCCGATTTCCTCCTGTAGCCCGTAGTTTGATGTGGAGGGCAGTGATGCCCAGTTCCTTGCACCTCTGGGCCACATCCTGGGCTGCCAACATAGCAGCATATGGCGAGGATTCATTTTGGTCAGCCTTCACCTTCATCCCACCAGTTACACAGCCGATGATTTCCATGCCAGAGAGATCAGTGGCATGCACAAAAGTGTCATTGAAGGATGCAAAGATGTGGCAGACACCAAATACGTTCTCTCCTTCAGCCGCCTGAGGTCCGAGACTGATGACCTGTTCTTCTCTCTTTCCCTTCCCCTTGCGAGGTGCCATTTCTGCACGTTTTCTCCAGACTCCGCCACCAGAAAGAGTGCTTTCCTTTTCTTTTAAACCTTGGACTGTTCCCTAGTCCTAGTTTCCTAGTACCCTTCCTGTAGAATTTTTTAGGACTGTACTGCCCCTTCTCTCATTAGACCTTCCCAATTTACTCATTCTGAAATAGGCTCTAACTCACTCAGTATCTAGAGTATGCTCTAGTTTCTCTTCCTTTCAGAGCACCTGTCCTTCCCAGAAAGAATCATGTTGCTGTGCTTCGTTAGTTGTCTGTGATCTGTCTTCCTGAGGCTGGAAGCTTCTGGAGAGTTAGTGCCAAGTCAGGCTTGATCCCAGCTCTATCTTCAACCCCTAGAACTGGGTCTGGTACCAACTTAGAAGGTGATCAATAGATATTCATTGCTATTGCTGTGATATCAGAAATACTCAAAAACAGTTTTCATGATACAGGGCTTAGAATTTTTATTTCAAATTGTTGCTATTCTCAATTGAAAAATGAATCGCATGCATAACCAAAAATTCAAATTGTACAAGAGTAAGCCTCTTTGCCTCTTACCTTCATATCGATCAAGATAGGACAAGCTGTTCAGTGGTATTTGGGTTATCTTTTCCTTTATACAAATATTTTTTTTCTTTTATTTATTTTTGTGTAGAAGAACTGGGGTGTGTAGGCAAGAGGTACAAGAGTGAGGGTGTGAGGGGATTCACCAGAGACAGAGTGGGGAGCAGAACAGGCAGATCCACTAAAATACACTGCTGAGGGGAGCAGTGGGCAAGACAGGAGAGGTCTGCTGCGCCATCTGTGGGTTAGCTTCCTGGCGGGTGATCTAACTTGTGCTGCACTGTAGCCAGAGCCCCTCCATTTTGCAAGAGAAAACCTCCCTAGACTAAAACTTGGGAACAAATTAAATTCTAACTGCCCTTTCGCATTCCCTCCTCAAGACTAACTGTTAACTCAATGAATTGCACACCCTTTTCCCTCCTTACAATTAACCATTAACTGGCTTTACCTGCATTCCTGGGAGCTTGGAAAATTAATTGCGTTACATCCCTAATAAACTCCTCCATGTCTCTGAGTTGATAGTGGCACCAAAACAAATATCTACGCATCGCTGGGAAAACACCCTGTTGGGAAAGTCAAACACCTTGACTCCTGTCACCTAGATTGCCTGCCACCTCCTTGGACCTGGCAATGTGACACCCTACACTGCCCTCACATTCCTTTATCCCTTAAAAAAAATCCCGATACTCTTGCCCTTTGGGGAACTGGCTATTTTGGTTGCCTATCCCAACAACTCCCATCATGGCCATCTGGAGTAAGATTCCCTCACGTAAAGACAATTCTCATGATTCAGGATTTGGCTTTCTGGGTGCAAGTGAAAGACCCCATTTGTTCTGTTACACTAGGATGACTATAGTAAAATTAAAAATGTATGGAAAATAACAAGTGTTGGTGAAGATGTGGAGAAATTTGGAAATTTTGTGTATTTCTGGTAGGAATGTTGTGTAAAACAATTTGATGATTTCTTAAAAGAGAAAACACAGAACTGCCTTATGACTCAGCAATTCCATTTCTAGGTATATATCCATATGAACTGAAATCAGGGACTCAAACAGGTATTTATGTACCCATTCATACTTATATTGTTTGCAGTAGCTAAAAGGTAAAAACAATTCAAATGTCTGTCAACAAATGAGAGGATAAACAAAATGTGACATACATATATAATGGAATATTATTCAGGCATAAAAAGGAATGAAGTTTGGTACATGTTACAACATGGATGGACCTTTAAAAGGTATGCTAGGGCCTCCCTGATTGTGCAAGGGGTTAAGTCTCAGCACTATCAGCTATCGCCAGCCAC